GGGGGTGTGGCCCGGTGGGCGTGGCCGGGGCCCGGGCAGGCATGGCCGCGGCCGGGGGTGCCCGATGGGGCCGGGGGCAGGCGCAGTCCCGGGGCCGTGGGGCTGTCCTCACCCTCCCCTGGCCATCACGGGTGTCCCCGCAGGCCGCGGTGTCCCCAGCCACGCCAGGCCAGCCCCATGTGCAGGGCACGGCTGTGGCCACACCCACTACTGCCCATCACGGGTGTCCCCACGTGCTCCGGGCCCTCGCTGTGGGCAGGGCACAGGTGTCCCCATTTGCTCTGCGATGTCACCGTGGGACATCACATGGGTGTCTCTCTCATTCCCCACGCTGTCGCCACGGGATAGAGCACGGACATCTCCCTGCATCCCCAGGCCCCCACCATGGCAAGGGCATGGACCTCATCCTGCGTCCTGGGGTTGCAACTGGTTATAGTTCCATAACAGGTTATGGATGTCCCCTTCATTCCCCGCACTGTTACCATGAGATGGCACATGGATGTCACCCCCTGGGCTGTCACCAAGGGCAGGCACAGCCCCATTGGTCCTCAAGCTGTCACCGAGGCACAAGGCACGGACACTTTCCTGTACCCCCAGGCCCCCGCTGTCAGTCAGAGCAGACATTTTCAAGGGTTCTGAGGCTGGTGCACTAGGACAGGGCAGAGATGTCCCCGACGCCTCTCAGGCCAGGGCACAGACCGCCCCCCGGACCCTGGGCTGTCACTGTGGGGAAAGGCACGGGCAACCCCTAGGGCCAAAGCTGTCCCCTCACCCCTCCCGTGTGTCCCAGGGCTGTGACCATGCAGTGGAACATGCAACAGCCCTGAAGCGAGGAGCCAGCACGTTTCCAGGCTTGTGCAGTGCCATGGGCTGGGGTGAGCCCCTGCATCATTGCCAGCGCCGCGGGGAGGGGTCACGGACACGGACAGAGAATCCTTTAAAAACTTGTCCTTTATTAGTCTGTCAGAAGCGAGTCCCTCTGTATAGGGCGTCCCACCCAGTTATAGCAAAGTGAGCAACGTGAAGGGACGGAGCCCCTCCTGCCGCGGCCCCCCCAGACCGGGGGAGCGCGGGGCCCGGGCTGGGGCCAGGCTGCCGGGGCCACCCCGCCCCGCACAGCCCCGCCGCCGCCATCCCTCCCTCCCTCCCTCCCTCCCTGCCTCCAAGGCGGGGGCCCTCATCCTGTGCCCCCGGGGTCAGCTCCGGGGCTGCGAGGGACAGCCCAGCGCCCCCGAATCCCGCAGAGAGCGATAGCACCAAGGGGGACGGCTGCTCCCCGCAGTTTATTCCGCGCTCCCTGCCGGGACCGAGGGGCGGCGGGGCCGGGCGCCGCCGGAGAACGCGCGGTCCCTCCGGGGAACGCGGGGCCGGCACGGCCCCGGGCTGGACGGGGGGTCCGGGGCTCGAGGAGAGGGTGTCTCAGCTTTGCTTCGGATTTACATTCTGGACCATGCAGTAGCACCAAAGTTCATGAGGTGATCGCTGCCGGAGCGCTACTTCCGCTTCCTGCCGCAGTACTTCCCTGCCGCGCAGCCGGGCCCTGCGCGGGACGCGCGTCAGCGCTGCCTGCGGGCCCCGCCGGCCCCTGCCAGCCCAGCACCGCACTCACCTCGAAAGCCCAGGGCACCCAGAGCTCCTCCGTAGGGCTTGGGGGGCTTCCCTGCAGCGGGAAGGCAGAGCAGGGTGAGCGGGACCCTCGCCGGGACACGCACCCCCAGCCCGAAGCACCCCGTGGGGAGAATGGATACTCACCACCGAATCCCAGGCCGCCGACCCCACCTGAAAGGAGAGCGAAGCCCTCAGCGTGCACGGGGCACCCCCGTGTCTCTGCCCCACACCCCCAGGGCAGCCCCCCGGCCCAGCCCAGCCCCCGGGTCCCTCCCGGCCCGTGCCGTGTCCCCGTGAGCTGCCCCGGCACCCACACGGGCCCGGGTGCGTGCTCGGGTGCCGAGCGGTACCTGGAAACACCGGGGATACGCCGAAGCCGGGAACTCCAGCGCCTGGGGAGAAAGCAACAGCCCGTGACAGCCGGTGACAGCAGTGCCACCCTAGCGGGGACTGGGGACAGCCTGGCTGGGATCCCTTGCTTACTCCAGGGACAGGAGCTGATGCAAAAGCCGCCGTCCCCACCCTGGCACCCCTCTGGCTTCCCAGTGCTCTCCCAGGCAGCCATGTGCCCAGCAGGGAATGGCAGCAGCTTGGGGACAGCAAGCAGGGACGAGTGTGGCAGGATAGGGGACACGCTCACACGCCAGCCCCAAACTGCAGCATTCACCTGGCTGCAGCCCTCCAGCACCACAACCTGCAGTGGGTGAGCCCCAGTGAGGGTGGGGAGCGTGAGCACAGCCATGGCAAGGTGGATGGGACAGGGACTGGAGTCACTCCTCCGGCCCCTCTGGCTGTCCCTTACCTGGCTTGGGAGGTTTCCCAGCAGCTCCTGGATACAAGAGTCCTAAGTCAGAGGGGGGCACCAGTGCAGCCCCTGCCTGGACTCACTGCCCCAGGGCTGCACCCAGACCCTTGAGGAGGGGCCCAGAGGGTCCTAGGAGGGACCTGCATCTCCTGGTGCAGTACATGTTCCACATGCTGGGCACAGGGTGCAGTACCTGTTCCCATGGCATGCGCAAGGCTGGGGCTATGGCCCTCAGACCCTGCTCAACAATGGCAATCCCTTTGGATCTCGTCCTGGGAACAGGGCAGGTGACAAACAGGACAGGGGACAGTGACAGTGCAGGGTGGGATTGTACTGTGAGACTGGGAGGGGACAGAAGTGACCCACAGACTCCCTTTCCTTTTCATGGCTCTGCCAGCGCTCTGCTGCTGCTGCCTGCAGCCCAGCCCTGGGGAGCCCCACGCTGGCACCAGCATCACTCACCGAGGCCACCAACTCCAAGCCCACCGACTCCAAGGCCACCTACAAGGAGTAGCCAGGGTGAGCACCAGCAGGGACAGTCAGTGCCCCAGTGTCTGACCCACTCCTCACCCACTCCCAGGTGTGCTCATCCTTTCTGGGGCAGCTCTGCTCCCTCCATGCCCAGAGGGAGCGTCCCTCCAGCTCCATCCCTCTAGGGGAGCATCCCTCTGCCTGCACATCCCCACTGCCCGGGCTCAGCTCCTGCCAGCACTTACCTGGGAGGCCACCAACTCCTGGGACTCCAACCCCAGGGACACCTGCCAGAGAGATGCCATTAACACCTGTCCCCCCGCAGCCTGGCACCCCCAGCTCAGAGCACCCCCGGCGCTGCTCAACCTGCTGGGGTGGCACTGGCACCCATGCTGGGAGTCCCCAGCACCCATCTCACAGTACCCAGAGGGGCTTCAGCCCCTGTGTGACACACGAAGGAGAAAACTGTCCTCAGTGAGTCTAGGGCAGGGGGTACAGGTGGGCACTTTGCACCCCTGAGTGACATCCCACCACTTCCCATGCCTGAGCCCTCAGGGCAAAGTGGGCATGCAGGGGACAGGAAGAGAGGTCGGCACCCTGATGGCCACAGGAGAAGGGTGCCCAGGGACATCCGAGGTGGCCCTGGGGCAGGGGGCAGGGACACGTACCGAATTTGGGAGGTTTAGCACCAGGCTGCACCCCTACTTGGGGGATGCCTGCAAAATGAGTGAGGACACCAGCGTTAGGACAGTCACCCCCACACCGCTCTCATGTGCCACCACCCTCCATCCCACCCGCATCCCTCCCTGCCACCCCTTCATGTGGCTCGGTGGCTTTTAGTATTCCTAGCCACCACTGTCCCCAGGCAGGGCGGGACAAAGCACCTACCTGCCCCGGGAAGGATGCCAGTTCCAGGTACTCCCACCCCTGGCACCAAGCCGGGCACACCACCAACGCCGGGTGTCACTCCGGGCACTCCGCCCACGCCAGGCACCACCCCTGGCACCCCTCCAACCCCGGCACCTGTGGAGAGAGGGTAAAGCAGCAGGCATGATCCCCGTGCTCATGTGGGATGGTGTGCCAGGCCTGCACGGGTCAGTGCCACACCAGGGCTGGCAGGGAGCCTGAGGGGCTCCCCGGGCTGACTCACCGAATTTGGCTGCCTTGGCTGCTGCTTTGGCCGCCGCTGCTGGACCTCCAACACCTGGGCAGAGACAGCAAGGGGGAGTCAGACACTGGGGAGGCCTCACAGCAAACGTGGGCAGAGCCCATCCCTCAGGCCTTGTCTGCAGCCCCCCAGGGGACACTGCTGAGGTTCTCCTCAAGCCTGTCCTGCCCCCAGAACTGCCCCCACACCAGCCAGGCTGCCCTCACCCTTGCCTTCCTCCTCCTCACCTGGGACACCTCCAACACCAGGAACCAGGCCACCCACTCCAGGAACCAGGCCACCTACTCCAGGAACCAGGCCACCCACGCCGGGAGCCAGGCCACCCACGCCGGGAGCCAGGCCACCTGCTCCTGCAAGGAGAAAGAGAAGGACTGGGGCTTCAGCTCAGGAGGAAACATGGCAGCAGGAGTTGGATGAGAAGGCATGGGTGGGGGGGGGTTGAGTGGGTGATGGATTATGAGATGGATATGTGGCTGGATGAGGAGTGGTTGAAATGATAGGATGAATGAATGGTTAGATGGATGGTGAGATGGATGAATGAATGGATGCTGAGATGGTGGGATGGCCAGATGGACGGATGGATGGAGGGGTGGTGAGATAGATGTGTGTGTGAATGGGGAGTAGTTGAATGGATGGTGGGATGGATGAGTGGAGGGATGATGAGGTGCACTAATGGTTGAAGGGATGGTGAGGTGGATATGTGGATAGACAGGTGGATATGTGGATGGATGTGGAGTGACTGAACAGATGAGTGCAGGAGGTACAGATGGATGGACAGAGAAGGGGGCAGATGGACACTGAGGTGGTGGTCGTGTGGCTGGGTCGGCAGAATGTGGTATGGATGGACTCAAGTATGCAGAGATGGTGACCTCAGACACTCCACAGGGCTCAGCTCTCTGGATAACAACGCTGACACAGCCAGAATCTCATCCCGCATTCAGGATCTCGTCCCTCACCCCGACCCCCAGGGACCCCAGGCACTGCTGGGCCTCAGCCCCAGCAGGGGAGCAGCCTGGAGTGGGGATGAGCAGGAGACAGGACATATGGGATAACCCCAGAGAGATCCCAGCTTACCGTACTTGGCTGCTTTGGCGGCTGCTTTGGCAGCGGCTGCCGGACCTCCTGGGGGACAGGGAGTGAGAGGGTCAGGAACGCGTCCCACCAGCACTGCTGGGGACATCCAAGCATCCCTTGGGCACGATCTCACCTGGAACGCCGACCCCAGGCACCAGACCAGGCACACCAACACCTGGTACACCCACTCCGGGAACACCAACACCGGGAACACCAACACCGGGAACACCCACTCCAGGAATGCCAACACCGGGCACGCGTCCTGCTCCTGCAGAGAGGTTCAGGGATGTGTCTGAGGGGGCAGACTCCACAGCAGGAATCCCACTGACCTCCACAGCACCGGGGTGTCCCCACCTCTCCTGTGTGCTAACACACCTCCTCCCTCCCTGGCACAGCCGATGGTGACGCTGGTGACAGTGGTGACTCACCGATCGCCGCCGCTTTCGCTGCAGCCTTGGCTGCGGCCGCTGCTGCCGGGCCACCCACTGCGGGGACACAAGGGACACAGTCAGGGCACTGCTGAGGCCAGCATCCCATCAGCAGCTGCTGACAGCCCATCTGCTCACCTCCAACACCGGGCACAGCACCAGGAACCCCAGGCACGCCAGGAACACCAGGGACACCAGGAACTCCAGGAACGCCGGCGATTCCAGGAACGCCAGCTCCTGCAGGGAGCCAGATGGGAGAAGTCAGATCTGGCTGCAGCAACAGCTGAATGGAAGGGACTCTTCTGGCTGTGTCTCATAATCGTGATCAGGAGAGGAGACCATCCACAGCCACTTCCAGGAGAGACCCAAGCGGGGCAGGAGAGGGATCATTTCTGTGTCTCTGCTAGACCTGGTGGGATGCATTCCAAGATCCTACCAGGTTTTGCAGGGCAGTGACCCTGGGCCCCAGACAGCACGTGGCAGGGCACTGGTCAGGCTGGGGAGCTCACAGTCTGGACCTGCTGGCACACGTTAGTGCCACACGGACCAGCACCAGGTCACTTTTGCAAGGACTCAGTGCCAGAGGGCTTTGTCCTCATGGGACGCTGCTCAGCAGGGCCAGCCCAGCACAGAGCAAGTACTGCTGAGTTCCTTCCTGGATTCCTGAATCCCATCCTTCCCTGGGCATGTGTGGAAGAGAAATGGAAGAGAGGAGGGCATCCGTGGTTTAACCCTCAATGGAGAGCTGCCATTGACCATGGCTCCTCCTGGCAACTCCCAGGGATATGCAGTGAAGATGGAGGACAAAGTCCTGGCCAGGTACCAGCTGCTGGCTCTGCCTTTTGGAGCAGCACATGGATGCCAGTCCTGCATGGAACCTCGGGGCCAGTTCTGCCTCCTCCATGTGCACAAGCTCCGAATTGGGGTGGTTATGGCTGCTAGACACCTAGGTCTTGCCAGACCCCGCTGGATGCACTTGATGGATCCCAACATTCCACCACAGTTTGGAGGACAGTGACCCTAGAGAGGAGTTCCTCTACCAGGAATCCCTGCCCTAATGCCAGCAACACTGAACCCTTGGGCATTCCTGAATCCCATCCTTCCTGGGCATGTGGAGGGATTTTTTTCTACCCAGTATAGAAGAGATGGGCATCAGTGGTTTAACCCTCAAAGGAGAGTTGCCATAGGACATGGTCCTTGTGGAGATTTCCAAGGCTTCTCATGGAGATTCTCAGAGCTCCACAGTAACAGTGAAGGAAAAGGTCGTGAGACCTGGCGAGGTAAGTGCTGACTCTACCTTTTGTAGAAGAACATGGACCCCCAATGCATTGTGAAACCTCAGCGCAAGTTCTGCCTCCTCCCATGGCCCAAGCTCCAGACTATCCTGCTGCTTGGTCCTAACCCTTGGCCGCACTGTAGCTCCTTGTGGGTGGTTACACCTGATGGACCCACCATACCACTGCATTTAGGAGCACAGTAACCCTGGGCAGTGGCCACTCTGCAGGAATCTGTGCCATAATGGCAGCAACACTGAGCCCTTGGGCAGCAGATCCTGCAACAGATCAGCTCCTGGTAATGGATTTGGTACAAAATCTAAGAATTCAGTTAAGTCTAAATCCATTATTTGCACAGAGCAAGTACTGCTGAGTTCCTTCCTGGATTCCTGAATCCCATCCTTCCCTGCGCATGTGGAGGGATTTTTCTACAATGTGCGGAAGAGAAATGGAAGAGAGGAGGGACATCAGTGTTTAACCGTCAAAGCAGAGCTGCCATTGACCATGGCTCCTCCTGGCAACTCCCAGGGATCTGCAGTGAAGATGGAGGACAAAGTCCTGGGACCTGGCAGGTACCAGCTGCTGGCTCTGCCTTTTGGAGCAGCACATGGATGCCAGTCCTGCATGGAACCTCGGGGCCAGTTCTGCCTCCTCCATGTGCACAAGCTCAAGGTGTCCGTGCTGTTTGGCCATGTCCCTCATCTCCAGCAAGCTCCTTGGGGGTGGCTATACCTGATGGATCCCACCATTTCCACCACAGTTTGGAGGACAGTGACTCTGGGCAAGGGCCCCTCTGCCAGGAATCCCCACCCTAAAGGCAGAAACACTTTGCCCTTGGACGGCAGAACTTTTGTCAGGTCTGCTGCAGGAAAAGAGATTTTGCACAAAATCCTAGAATGCAGACTAGTCATGAGCCATGAATTGGGGCTCATTGTTCACCTCCACAGGGCAGCCTGGAGAAACCCTGGAGAGGGAGAAGGCCCTGCCCTGCAGATGGAGCCAGGCCCAGGAAGAGCAGCCAGGAGCTGGGCTGAGCATTCCCCACTTCCCCTCAGGAGTGATCCCAGGGAAGAGCCCGAGCCTGGGCAGCCCCGAGGGTCAGGGTGGGCAGGGTCCCGGGGCTGGGCCCCACGCAGCACATACCGTACTTAGCTGCCTTTGCTGCTGCTGCTGCCGACGGCACCCCTGGGGACAAGGGAGACACAGACCCTCAGCCACCATGGCCCTGCAGAGCCGGGCCACGGGGACAGGGCTCCAGGAACAGTCACCTGCCACCCCGGGCACACCTCCGACACCGGGCACTGCCCCGGGGACACCTCCGACACCGGGGACCAAGCCAGGGACACCTCCGACTCCGGGCACGAGGCCGGGGACGCCACCCACACCGACACCGGGAACGCCGGCGCCTGCGGGAACAGGAGGGACAAATCAGAGCTGGCTGCAGCAAGAGCTCATGGTGGCACCTGCCATGGCTCAGTGGTGACATTGTGGCCTGGAGAGCAGAGCATGCATGGCCTCATCCTGAAGAGACACCAGTGGGACAGGGCAGGGATTGCTAGCCCCAGTTTGATGTGCTTCTGAACCCCAGCAAGTGTTTGGAGGATGGTGACCCTGGGCAGAGCCCCCTCTGCGAGGAATCAGTGATATAATGGCAGCAGCACATTGCCCTTGGGCAGCAGATCCTGCAACAGATCAGCTGCTGGGAGTGGATTTGGTACAAAATCCAAGAGTTTATTTAAATCTAAAGCCATGAATTTGGGCTCATTGTTCATTTCCTAAAGGCAGTGTGGAGGAACCCTGGAGAGGGAGAAGGCCCTGCCCTGCAGATGGAGCCAGGCCCAGGAAGAGCAGCCAGGAGCTGGGCTGAGCATTCCCCATTTCTCCTCAGGAGTGATCCCAGGGGAGAGCCCGAGCCTGGGCAGCCCCGAGTGTCAGGGTGGGCAGGGTCCCGGGGCTGGGCCCCACGCAGCACATACCGTACTTAGCTGCCTTTGCTGCTGCTGCTGCCGACGGCACCCCTGGGGACAAGGGAGACACAGACCCTCAGCCACCATGGCCCTGCAGAGCCGGGCCACGGGGACAGGGCTCCAGGAACAGTCACCTGCCACCCCGGGCACACCTCCGACACCGGGCACTGCCCCGGGGACACCTCCAACACCGGGGACCAAGCCAGGGACACCTCCGACTCCGGGCACTGCCCCTGCACCTGGAGGGAAGCAGAGTAGTCAGACCACCCCACAAACACCTCACTGTCACGGTTGTGACATGGTCTGTCCCAGGGTTACTGGAGTCTCTTGGGCACCAGTTTTGTGATGGGCTCCTCACTCATGCTAAAGCAGCTCCTCAGGGTACCTGGGATGTAGCCAGGAATTTGATTCCCTGCTCCCTACCCCCATTAGTGGCCTGGCCACCCAGGATGTTGGGGACTCCCAGGGTCCCCAAGGCTGTGGCTACACATCCTAGCTCCCTCAGGGCTGGCACATTTTCCCTAAATGCTCCAGTGTGTGATCTGCCCCTCACTCTTCTCCCATGGAACAGCCAAGGCGGGGAGCAGCAGAGATCTGCATCACCAGGAGCATCCCTGACTAGGGAAGAACAGCTCGGCACAGACACCCAGTCCCGGCCACCCTGCTGGCACTGGGCACAGCAAACCCACATCTCACGGAGAGACCGCATGCGATGGGCATGTTCTGTCCCCTGCCAGGCTGCTGCATCCCGAGGGGCCCGTCAGGCCTTCACCACTGCTCAAAAAGCTGCTGGAGCCGGGACAGGGGCAGGGAGAGCACCCCGTAGAATGGGATGGGGACTGCTGGGGCAGCTGCAGAGCCACACAGCCCCTGGCTCTTCCCTGTCCCGAGATGTGTCCGAGGCAGCAGGAACTCACCAAAAGCTCCTGCCTTTGCCGCTGCCTTCGCCGCTGCTGCCGCTGCTGCCGGTCCTCCGACTGCCGGGATAGCGGGAGAGAGTCAGGGTGTGGGATAAGGGAAGGAGACCCTCCCCGAGCCCCAGGGCAGAGCCCTCTCATCGCCTCACCTCCAGCTCCTGGGACACCGCCGATGCCGACACCGGGTGCAACTCCCGGGATTCCGCCAACACCGGGCAGGACACCGGCTCCTGCCAAGGGGGACAGCACGGTCAGCAGGGACAGGGGACACGGCCAGCACCCCGGGGCTGGGAGGGAGGGACCGAGGCAGGGGGGACAGGGAGCAGCTCCCTGCTGGGGAGATGGGCGGTGTTTGTGCCGCAGAGGGCGACTTACCCAGTTTCGCTGCTGCCTTCGCTGCTGCCGCCTGTGCTCCTACCCCTGCGGAGGGACACGGGCACTGAGCCCCCGAGGTCCTGGGACCGTTCCCACCTCAGCTCCCCCACCCCACAGGGACCCTGGGGACCGGGCACCGCTGCCAGCATCCGTCCCCCTGTCCTGTGAGGGATGCTGCTCTGTGCGGGCTGTCCCTGCAGCCTGAGGACAGCCGGGCAGTGCCCACACCCGTCCCGCGGCCACCAAGGTGACACGGTGTGCCCTGCCCAGCCATGCCCGTGCCACTCCCCACCCTGCGGCTGCGGCGTCCAGTGTACCTGTCCCGGTGGGGTATCCTGCCTTTCCTGCCAGGAGGCCGGCTCCTATCCCGCCGGGCCTGAGGCCTGCAATCACAGCACAGCGGCACAGCCACGTCAGGCACGGGCCAGGGGAGGACAACGAGACAGATGGAGCAGCCCCCTTGGATCTCCTGCCCCTGGCGCCAGAGCATGCAAGGGGATGCCAAAGCCAGCTCCTCCCCACTTGAGATCCCAGTCCAAACATCTCTGCCTGAAGCTGGAGTGGCTCAGGATGTATCCTATGGATTAACAGCTCCCAGGAATGCCAGGAGAGTTCAGTTCCCAGGCTGGTCCAGAGTCACTATGGACAAGGCACGAGGTCCCCAATGGACCCCCTCATCCTGGGAGCAGGATATCTCTCACACCGCCCCGAGGGTCCGTGGCCACGAGGTCACGGTGGCAACCACGAGGTCGGTGGAGGATCCTGGGAGCAGGATATCTCTCACACCGCCCCGAGGGTCCGTGGCCATGAGGTCACGGTGGCAACCACGGGGTCAGTGGAGCCACGAGGAGTGAGGACACAAGCACTCACCATGGGGCAGCTTACCATTGGTGTAGGGCAGTCCATAGCCACCTGGGGACGAGAGGAGAGGAGAGAAGGGGGAGTTAGCATAGCGCCTGGCTGCTGCTGGCCCTGTCCCCTCTGCCCCACAGTGTGGGCCCGCTCTGCCAGGGCCCTGCAGCACCGGCCCAGGGTCCATTGTGATGGTGAATCCTCCGGGATACAAACCCCCGTGCTGGAGCTGGGCCAGGAGATGCTGTTCTCCCTCACCTTAGAAGCAGTGAGTGAAAGAGCCGCCCCCTCTGAGTCAGGCCGAGGGCTGTGGCGCCTGAAGCTGTTGTGCAGGAGCCGCCCATGACCCCGCTCCAGTGAGGGGTCCCACGGGAGCCCCGCGGCAAGAGCTGTACCCAGCTGGCTGCACCCCCGCCAGCCACGAAGGAAAGGTTTTAATTGGAATCAGCGTTTGGGAGCCTCGGCTGAAACGTGACCTCGCTAGGAGGTCTGTGAGAAGGGATGGGGAGGGATTATGAGCTGGGACATCGCGGCCAGGGAAATGTCTCCTTGCGAAAGAGCCGGATCCCAGCACTTGGAATGGCGGGGATGCCCCTGACTCAGGAGGGACCGTGGGCTTGGCAGCCAGCAGTTCCCAGCTCCCATCACTGCTGGCAGCAGCCCGAGGCCATGGGCTGTCACATTCCTGGGGGGGGACACCTCGAGCTGCCCGGGTGGGGGGTGCCTCCAGCAAGGAGGCCATGGGTGGGGATGTGGCTGCCTGCAGCCAGGATGGAATTACTCATGGCACAGCATCTCCTTGAGCACTGGACTCCATCCCCTCCCAGCAGCCAGCATGTGGGGACCAGATTTCCCTCCATCCTGCCAGGCAATCCCATGCTGTCCCACATCAGCACAGTGGTGCTGGCAGGCAGAGGCTCACAGTGAGCCGTGCCAAGTGTCCCCCACCTTGAGGGCCACCCTTGCCTATCCAGGGGCACCTTATCAGTACCTTGCTCACCCTAAAGCTGGGAAAGGGGTGACACATGGAGGTGACTCCAAGGGCCAGAAGTCAAATTGGGCCTTGGGTCTCCAAGGGTTTTGGTGGGTGAGTCCAGCTCCCCACCACCCCCAGGTGGATGGGAAGGCAGCCCTTGCCCTGGGGCTGTGTCCATGGGAATGTCACCAGCACTGCCAGGGGGGCTCAGGCCCTGCACACAGTGGGGCTCTGCACAAACCAAACACAGCTGGACACTGGTGGACACTGAGGAGTGGTCCCCATCCCTACAGCATCAATGGGACCCTGACCTGAGCCACAGCTTCAGACTGAGCCTCCAGTGAGGTGGGTGACCCCCAGGGCCACCTCCTGAGTGGGGACAGCCCAGGAGAAAGTCATCTAAAGAGATGATTTTCCACTGAAAATATTGTTTGTCCCACTGTCCTCTCTTCCCCTCTCAGCCTGGACCTACTGCAACGGGGACAATGCAGGGGACAGCCCACGTGTGGCAGCCCCGGATCCACCCACAGCATCAAGGCAAGAGTCTCCACAGCCAGCAGCACAGTCTGTCCTTGCACTGCCAGCCCTGAGCCCTCAGAGGTGACAAACTGGCATCCCCAGCACCCCAGGAAGCTCTGGAGACACCCCCATGGTCCTGGTCCCTGTCCTGAGGCTGGGACCTAGATGGGGTCCACAGGCAGCAGGGCCAAGTCTCCTTAAGGATCATAACTCTGTTCCACTGCAGGAAACAGGAGTGGGCCAGGATCCCTGCTGCTGCTGTGGCCACGGGCCCTGCTGGGGGGAAGCCAGCAGAGCTGCTGGGGCTGGAGCTGGGCTGGGATGTGCTGGGCTGGGGTGGGCTCCTCTTGCTGAGGCTCTCCTGCCTCCAGAAACTTGTTTGGGTACACGGGGCAATGCCTGCGCATCTCCAGTGCACTCCCCAGCACCCCAGGGATGGGGGCCCTGCCCAGATGGACTGCCCTCCTCCTCGGGATGCACTGGGGAGCAGTCAGCTGGCAGCATGGCCCCTGGAGGGCACAGAACCTGCCCGTGGGCACAGCTGCCCGGGGACAGGCAGAGCTGGCACCTGGCACAGGGCTGGGAGAGGAAGGTGCCCAGAGCAGCCCAGGCTGGGAAAGGGGTGCTGAGCTCCCCCAGGCTGACCTGGGCTGGGGCTGAGCCCTCTCCAGGTGGGCAGTGGGGACAGATCTGCCTGGAGGCCGCACGTGGCCTCAGCTACAGTTCCTTGAGCCAGGACACCTGACCCAGGTGAAACCCCACACAACCCCAGGAGCCACAGAAACCAGTCTGTCCCTGCAAGGGCTGTGCCTTGTGCCAGCAGGAGCTGGCAGGGACATCCCAGGGTGGCCTGGCCCCGGGTGTGTCCCAGAATGTGACCCTTCCTACCTTACAACAGCTGCAGGGAGGTACAGCATCGTCCACATGAGCGGGGGCAAGAACAGAGGCATCACCCCAGGGGCTGCCGTGGGGTGCCACAGGCAGGGCACAGCAGAGCCCCAGGCTCTGTCCTGCTGTCCCTGGGCCAGCACAGGCACTGCCAGATCCAGGGGACCTGTGGGCACCGTGCCTCATCCCTGGGGAACGGCGGGTCCTTCTCCTGACTGCTGGGGTTCCTTCACCCACAGTGAAGCCACTCTGCTGCCTGTGGAGCTTACCTGGGAGCTTAGGAGCTTTGATGGGATAACCCAGAGGGACACCGGGCTGCTGACCTCCAAAACCTCCCAGTCCTGCAAACCAACAGCAGACTCTCACCTGGAGCCCGCGCCACAGCTGCCACCAGTCCCGGAGGGAGGGGAGTGCCCCAGGGCACCCCGGCAGAGGAGAGTGGGTGGCTTGGGAAGCCCTGAGGCATCTTCTGGTGTGGGGAGACCATGGCTGTGAGGAAGAGGCTTGGGAAGGAAGAGAAGGACAGGCAAGAGAGACGGGACACTCACCAGGGATTCCTCCAAAGGCTCCAGCTCCTAAAAGGAAACACAAAGACACCTGTGTGAGCCCTGGGCTGCTCCTGGAGGCCCAAATTAACCTAAGTGGATTCAGCCGTAGCTTGGCTTCACTGCCAAGTGGCCTGTAGGGCTCTGATCCCAAAGGCTGGGCTGGGGTGCCGAACTGGAGCCAGCCCCGAACCAGCCCTAGTGTTCCAAGGGGATGAGGGGACCTACCTGGGGCTTTAGGTTTGACTCCAGCTCCAGTGGGGACTCCAGGCAGTACTCCCACGCCAGGGAAGCGAACACCTGGGGCAGAGACCGGAGGGGTGAGCTGGGGCCTCACTGGGGATGTTACTGGTACCCAAGAGCCCCCCACCCAGCTTCCAAATCCCTGTCACCCACGGCACACTCATCCTTGGGGGCTTGCTGGCACCACCCTGTGCCAGCTGCCTGCACCTCCAGCTGCCAGGAGGGGTTTGCTCCAGGCCTGGAGATGCCTGTGGAACAGTCTGGGAGCCTGCAGGGAATATGGCACTCAAGAGGGGTCCCACTGGTGACAGCAAAGCCAGCCTCTCTGCCCTGCTGATGCTCAGTGGCCTGGGGCCAGACAGGGCTCCCGAGCCGTCCAGGGCAGCAGACAGTGCCTTGGAATCGTTTGGGTTGGATTTTTGGGTTTTGAATTTCCTTTTGGTTTGGGGTTTTTTTTCCCCTCTTACAAATGTCTTTCATTATAACTCGAACATTTTCAGACATGGAAAAGACATTCCTGACCAGCAACATGCTTCGGACAGTGTCGAAACATCTTGTTTTCACAAGTTTTCCTCCCCCAAATTACTTTGCACTGAGGAATTCCTCTCTCCCGCCACCTCCTCCCCCTCCTTCCCTCATGCCAGCCCTGGTGGCTGTGCCAGCTCCTCTCCCAACGCTGGTGCTGCCTGCTCCCGCCAAGCTTGGCATGGGATGGAGGTGCCGGGTCCCCCCCGTGCACTTGGCAGGGTGGAAATGTCACTGTAGCCTCAGCCAAGGGGTTGGAAGCTGTGGGGAGCAGCAGGACCCAGGGCAGGGTGCTCTCCCGCGGGGGGGCTGGCACTGGGCAAGGACCCGCTCGGAGGTGGGGTGCTGAGGTGGGTGGGCACCCCCAGCTCACCTGCGCCAGGGAGCACACCGCCCGGAAAGGCTCCAGGAATCCCAGCACCTGCAGGCAAAAGAAATCCAGGGATGAGGGGCCGGATAGAATCGCTCCCCGCCCCGGCCCCGACGCCGGGGCCGTCACCTACCTGGTATTTTAGGGGGTTTCCCTGCCGCGCCAAGGCCGGGCTGCACCGCGCCCGGTACCACGGCACCTGCGGGCAGCAGAGAGCCCTGAGCCCCGGCCCGGCTCCTGCCCACCCCGGGGACAGCTCTGCCCCAGGCTCGGCTCTGCTGGGAGCGAGGGGTATTTCCTACCTGTGGAGACCCCGAGGCCACCAGGACCACCAATTCCACCCACGCCTCCAATGCCAGCACCTGGGGGCATTGGGAAGAGGGGTGTACCTGCGGCTGGCTGCAACGTGCCAGGGAAGGGACAAGCTCAGGATGGCCCTTGGGGGGTGATGGGGGTACCATGAGGCAGTCTCAGGGGTGGGTCCCCCACACTGGGCACAGGGACCAGGCAGTTCTGTGGTCTGTGCTCCTGGGGGCTCAGGTTTGGCCAATTCCCCGTGCCTGGGACCCTCCGAGTCACTGGGGAGCCCAGTGAGAGCATCAGCTCCTGCCTGCAGCCCCAGCTCCAGGGGAAATCTGTCCTGTCCCAGAACCCAGGGGACACCAGGGGTCCCTGGGGGCTGCCTGAGCCCCGGGCCCATCTTGCCCAAACCCCCCCAGCACTCACCAGCTTTTGCAGCAGCCTTGAGCGCCGCGGCCGAGGCGGCTCCCGGGAACACCCCCCCGGGGAAGGCAGCTCCGGGGAACAGACCCGCAGCACCTGTGGGGAGAGCAGCCAGCATCAGCACCCCAAAAACAGCTGCCCAGAGGGTGGCCTGCCCTCGCGGTGGGTGCAGGGCTGGTGAGCTGTGGGGGCTGCGTGGCAGTGCCAGGGCTGGCGTTAGGCTGGGCAAGGTGGCGTTAGCAGGCACTGCCCTGTCCTGCATCCCCCAAACTCGCGCTCCCATCCACATCCCACCTGGCACACACAATGCCTGGCACCCCTGCAGTGGGTGCTGACACCCCTGGAGGCCCTGGCTGACCCCCTGCAGGCACTGTCCCTCTGCTGCCGGCCCTGCAGGCACCCCCGTGCCTCCTCTCCTGCGGAGTCATCCCACTGTCGTTGATGTCATCATGCTGGGGGCCCCTCAGGGCTGCCTGTTGGGTGGCTGTGGTCCCTCAGATCTGGGAAGGGCCAGATGGGACCCACCCAGCACACTGGAGAGCTGTGGAGATGGGGATAAGGGATGTGCTGTCCCCAAGGTGGGTCTCTGGGGACATCACCCAGGGGATGGCCCGGAGCAGGGGGGGACAGTGGTCAGTGCTCACCTGGCTGCAGACCAAGGGGGCCAAGTCCCCCAAGTCCTCCGACCCCCCCAAGTCCTCCGACCCCTAGGAAGAGAAGGGGGGTGAGGTGGGGAGTGGCCAGGGGCAGAGGGGTTCTTGTGGCACTGTGGGGATGGGGTTCCTGTGGCACTGTGGGGACTGCCCAGGGACGGGCACAGGGATGGTGACAAATGTCCTTGCCAGCACTTGGGTCCTCCATTCTGTCCTTCTGCCTCACTCACCCCCCATCCTGCGGGCCACAGGGGGACAGAACCGAAATGTTTATGGCTGAGGAATGAGTCCCTGGGTCTCCGGCCAGCGCTGCCTTCCAACATCTGGGGCTCATCAGCCCTCGCTCCCTCCAGGCGCAAATTCCGGAGCCGCTGGCTCCGGGCGCGGACACCGCTCCGCCTGGGCCTTGCAGCCGCCCCGCGTTTGGTTTTAATTATGCCGAAATAAAGGGCCTTGTTTTTCTTTCCACGAGCTGAAATCTGAGCAAACGGAGGCTGTCGGCCCCCGCCTGGGGCTGCAGCTCCCACTGCGCAGCCGGGCCAGCTCGGGGGGCTGGGGCGTGGGGTGCCTCTGCCCTGGGCACAGCGGGGACCCTGGGGTGGCACGGAGGGGACCCCCGGGTCTGCCTGAAGCAGCATCTCTCCATGGGGATCAAGGCACCGGACAGAGAGTGCCAGGACGAGGGGGAGTGGTTTGAACCAAAAGAGGAGAGATTTAGATTCATTGTTAGGAGGAAATTCTCTGCTCTGGAGGTCGTGAGGCCCTGGCACAGGGTGCCCAGAGCAGCTGTGGCTGCCCCGTCCCTGGCAGTGCCCAAGGCCAGGCTGGACCGGGCTTGAGCAGCCTGGGACAGTGGAAGGTGTCCCTGCCATGGCAGGGTGTGGGTTGAGATGGCTTTAAGGTCCCTTCCAACTCAGGCCATTCTATGATTCCATGATTTCCCTTGGCCCCAGCATGTTCAGTCCCTGCTGCCCCAGGCCCGGTGCCCTTCAGCTGCCCATCCTCCTGCCAGCATCTCCCCTCTCTCCTGGTGCTGTCCCCTCTCCCCAGCATTCCTAGGCCAGGCAAAGCCCAGCGTGGGCTGCAGGAGCCTCTGCAAAAGCTGCTTGGCCCCGATGGCAGGCAGGTGGAGGCACTGCCAGCTTCCCACCAGGACACTGGCTCCTGCTGTGCATCTCCTCCCGCAGCTGTGGCGCAGCTTTACAGGCAGCAAGCACCCCCAAAGCGTGGTTTGGGGGGCTGGGGCAGAGGGCAGCGCCGAAGCGGGGTGTGGGAGGGAGGCTCCCCGAGGCTGTGGCAGGATTAGTGTGGCAGGGCAGGGCTGGGTGTGCCTTGGCCACGGGGAAGCAGCATGAGGGCAGCAGTGGTTGGGAAATGTCCCAGCCACTGGCCTGGAGGTGGTGAGAGCCAGGGAAAGGCTTCTTACCTGGTTTGGGAGGTTTCCCTGCAGCCCCGAGTCCTAGGGGAGATGAGTGGAGGGAGAGGGGTCAGAGCCCTCCTCCCTCCGAGCATGCCCGGGCAGGGCACACGTGGGACAGGGCCAGCCCCCCTGCCCACACAAGGCACATCTACTGGGCATCCTGCCCCTCTCCCAGCCCAGCACAGCCTGCCAGGGGATCCCAGCACTCACCTGCTCCCAAACCTCCAACTCCAGCACCTGCAAGCAAGGGCACAGTCTGAGCACTGCCCTGGGAGCACCCAGCACCCAGCCAGGCTCCCAAGTGTCCCTGGGGAGGGTCACACAGGTCTCAGGGGATGGGCCATCCCCCCTGGCATGTCCCCAGGATTTTGGCTGAAGATCTGCGGACAGGCTGTGACCTCTGAGCACCTCCTGTGGCCAGGGCTGGGCAGGGTGTAGGTGCCAGCCCTGGGCAAGAGGCCCCAGGGTAAGCCTGGCACTGCCATCAGTTGTGTCCTGACACCGTGGGGCTGATGCTGAGTCCATGCTGAGCAGCCAGACAAGATGTCCCCATGTCACCTGATCCTGGCTGGCAGGTCCTCAGCCTTCCATGGTGTCCCAAAGGCATTCAAGGACCCCCCAGGCACCTGACCGTCCTTGCAGGTGCCCCCTCCCCAAGGTGCCTGAGCCCCCTTACCTGGGAAAAAGCCTCCTCCTGGGACTCCCCCTCCCGGGATAGCACCAGGAACCCCTGCAAGAGAAGAGAGCCTTGTTAAAATCCCCCCAGAGATGCAGGCAGGGAGGCAGGGGGCTCCTCCTGGTTCCCCTGCTGCTCCCTGCAGAGGAGCGGGGATGTGCAGCTCCAGGGCAGGTCCCTGCCTTCTCTTGCATCCCTTTTGCCCGGGGTCACAGTGCTGGCAGGGCTCGGCGTGCATGGGGAAGGAGGGAGGGACATGGGGCTGGCTGCTGTCCAGCTCTGCTTCCCAGCTCCTGCCCCATCCCACAGCCAGGGCTGTCTCCATCCCCTGCAGCCTCACGTGGATCTGGGGGTGGGTCTGGGCACGGCCAGGGACGTGGGGCTGTCCCAGTCCATCCCCACAGTCCCTGAGGGGCCCGGCCACGCCTGAGCCTCCTCTGGGGCTGCCCCAAGGATTCCTGGTGTGTCCTGTCTGCCGCGGTGCCAGTGGGAACAGCCAGCTCAGGCACAGGGGTGACAGACTGGGGGGACACTGCTGAGACCCGTGGAACCCCCTGTGTCCCTCTGCCTGTCTGTGTGACACTAAGGTCACCACCCAGGTCCCAGCGCTTCCCAGGGCATCTCAGCTCATGCTCAGAGGCCACAAGAAGGTTTTTTGGCTGTTTTGTACGCTGGCAGTGCCACATGTCTGCTGCAGGCCACCAGGCTCCCCCCGGCTGGCCCCCCAGCTCCACCAGGGCCGTGGGTGGGCTGGGGTCTTGCAGGTGGGCTGGGGACACGAGGGGGCTGCAGTGCCGAGGGAAGCTCCTCTTCTGGCAGCGGAGAGGGGCTGTGGTGGGGTTGGCAGGACAGAGCAAGGCAGGGGGGCTGCAGGAGGGTGTGGGGGGCTGCCGTGGCCACAGTCCCCGTGGGGAGCTGCAGCCAGCCCTGGTGCCTGCCCTGCCACAGGGGATGGGCTTCAGGGGGCACTGGAGACCCTGTGGGGGCCTGCTGGGACCTGAGGCCCTGCAGTGGCCTCCCCAGGCCGGGAAGTGGCTGCAGCCCTGGCAGCACCACCACGGGCTGGGCAATGCCCAGGGGCTGGGCAGGGCAGTGCCAGCACCCAGGGTGGGCAAGCAGCTGGCAGGGCTGGGACGCCACAGTAGAGCACATTGTGCTGCACATCTCCATCCCAGATGTGGGGCAAACCCTGGGGGCGTCCCCCACACCGTGCCCCACCAGTGGCAGGGATCAGGGTGTCCCCTGTGCCCTGCTCATGTGCCCTTTCCACCCTGGGCACCTGGCAGAGATGCCCAGCCCCCCAGAGGGATGCACCAGGGTGTCAGGACACCCCTGTGTGTGCCAGGGGTGTCAGGCTGTGCGTGCTCAGGAGATGCTGGGAGGACAGGACATCCCTGGGGATGCAGCAGGCAGGGGCAGGAGCTGTGCCAGGACCCATGGCACAGCCCCAGGCCTGCGCCCCCCCATATCCCCTCCCGGGGTTCTGCCAGTGTCCCTGGCACAGGAGGGGACCCGTGCTCAGCTCTGGCATGGCCCTGCCCCCGGCCAGGGGATCCCGGAGCAGCTCCTTGTCCCGGCCAGGGGGTGACAGAACGGCTCCTTGTCCCGGCACATTCCCGGCCCACACTGCCCCCCGAGCCTGGAAGAACACAGCTCCAGCCCCTGCCTTGTTTCCCAACAAGCTCCAAGCGTCGCTCAGCACCAGTTCTCCCTCCCAGCCCTGCTGGCGCTGGGAGCCAGTGCCGGGCACGGCCAGGGACCCCGTGGCACAGCCAGGGACTGTCCCCACCCGGGAGGGTCTCAGCTCCCGTCATACTCCCCGGCCTCAGCACCCCAAAACTGGGTAAGGTCCCTGGTGCTGGGGTGACCCGGACTGACCTTCCCTACCCCTCTGTCACCCTGTGCCAGTGCTGGAGACTCCCAAGGAAGCTAAGACACAGATTTCTCACAGCATCCCTGCGGTGTGGGGACCACAGAAATGTCCAGGTTTCACCTGCCTACAGCCAAACTCCTCCCTTTATCATCATCACCACCCTCCTGAGGCACTGAGGGTCCTGCCAGGAGGGTCCCACTGTGGTGACACTGCCACTGCCCCCTCCCCAGGCACCATCCCAGAGACAGGGCTCCGTGCCTGGATGTACCTGGGAGGATTGCAGGGGCTGTGCTGGTCTATCTGCTGTTCGGGTGGCAGGTCAGCAAGGCCTGCCAGGGCACAGAATGGCCCGGAGGCAGGGGTGGGTGGCTGGGTGGTGGTGCCATGTGGCTTTAGGGGGACAAGCCTTTCTCTCAGGAGCTCTTTCTGACCAGCTCTGCTGCCAGGCACTGACCCAGACACTCCTTCACAAGCTCCCCCCAGCCTGGGGCTGTTCCCTGGTGCAGGCACTGCTGGGGGGTCTCTCCATATCCCCCCAGCATCTCTAGTCCCTCCCCCTGGCAGCACCACCGAGCACAGGTGCTGGTGACAGCCCACACACTGGTGACACCGTGACCACGCTGGGTTCTGGCCATCACTCTCTGGCCATCTCTGTCCTTGCCAGCCTCAGGGCCAGCAGCCCCCAGCCCAGTCTGGGGTCTGTGTGCTCCCATTTGTCCTCTCCACTCGTTCCCTTGGCACATCGGGGAAGGGGAGACTGAGTCAGCAGCTTCCCAGCGCTGAAGGAGCTCTGTGCTGCCTCTGCTCTGAGCCTGCCAGGACCCTGGGAAGGGGATTTTCCTGGGCTCCCAGCCTGTCTCCAGGGCTGGGCTGGCTGTGAGCCTGCATCCCCCCCCAGGGACAGCTTCTCAATCCAGGGGCCAGAGAAATTGCAGCCACTCATGCAGCCCCAGCTGTGTCAGGGTGTGAGCCATGGAGGTGCTCAGGATCTGGTGTGGAGTCTCCTTGTTTATGGGAATGGGACATTTTCCCCCCACGGCTCCATCCACAGGTGTGGATATCCACGCTGTTCCGCTGCCAGAGCTGCTTCCGATCCCGTTTGCATCGGCTGCACCATTTCTAGCTGCACCAATGCTTGCAGCTCCCTTCACAAGGCAGAAATGCAGAGGATTTCTCTATTCCATAGGCTTTGAGACCAAGGCCAGGACGGAGAATCCAGCACAGGACAGCCTCATACCTCACCCCCCCTCTGCGCCCATGGGCACCCGGAGGAGCCTCAGTGCAAAACCACCAACATTTCCCCTCTTCCCTCATTCCACTGTTTTCTTTTTCTTGGGAGAAAGTTATGGAAACATTCAGTCTCCAAGCGACTTTGAAGCTGTGCTGCATCCCGGGCCGAGCTCGCTGGTAGCAGCTCGGGGGAGCGGGGGGGCTGTGCCGGGGCCTGGCTCCTCTCCAGCCCCCCTGAAGCTCCAGCTTTCATCTCCGAGCGCCGGCGGGCAAGCTGCACCCTGCCAGCTGGGAGGGAGGGAGCAGCCCTGCGGGCCAGGGTCCGCTTGGGAAGGGGAGATGCCACCCCAGCCCCATCCTGGGGACCCTGGGTGTCCTCAGAGGATTCCCAGAGCCCCAGGCTGGGTGCTACCACCCCCAGTGCCTGCCCCTCTGCACCCACTCGAGCTGCTCCCTCTGGGCCCAGAGCCCGCAGGGCTGGGACATCCCCAGGGCCCCTTTTGTCCCTCCTGGGGTGTCACTGCTGGGGGACCCCCTGTGCTCCACACAGCAAGCACTGAGGGATGGATGGAAGCACTGAGGGATGGATGCCCTGGTCCAGATGCTGGGACAGGCTGCACTTGGCACCTTTAGGGAATCACAGCACCTTCCCCCTGCAGTGACCTGTAAGAAGATCCCCAGGGGCTGATCCTGACCTGCTGCTGGGGGTTTCCTGAGTACTGCCAGCTCAGCCCCTTGCCACTTCTCTGAGATGACAGCCTGGGTACGAATCCCACAACCCTGGGATGTCTCAGGGTTCCCTCTTTTGCCAGGCTGATTTGGAGCTGCACTGGCAGCTGGTGCTGTAGAACATGGCCCTGACCATCCCAGCACCCCGGGATCCCCCCTCACCATGCCACCATGCCTCTGTGCCAGCCCTGTCCCCAAGGGCTGGCTTGCCAGGAGCAGGGGTGAGGGTGCAGAGGCACTGCTCAGTCCTCCACCAGCACTGGGACCATCTGCAGGGTCAGCTCACCTCTTGTGTGAGCTGCTTCCCAAAGCAGCAAACACCCCTGAGGACTGAGCCAGGGCCCGGAGTGGGGCCAACAGTCCCGAACTGCTCAGGAACTGCTGCAGGGTCTCACCCAGGGTCCAAATTCCCCCAGAGATGGTCCCAGCTGGCCATGGCTTGAAGGATCAGAACAAAGCCAGCCTGCACCAGCAAGCCACATCTCTCTCACTGCCAGAGGTGGAGAGTGCCTGGGACTGAGCACATCCCATCGAGCACCCTGAGGAGGATTAGGCACCAAGAGCAGCTCGACTCCCCAGGCAGCTCCAGGCTCTGGGTCCCACTGCCTGCGCAGCCGGGGCCACCCCGAGGCTGGGGTGCATGAGGTGCAGGGCACGGGCAGGTGGAGCTGCTGAGGGCTGTGCCCTTGGTGACAGGTGGCTCTGGCTGCCCTGGTGCCATCCAGCCCTGGCACTGCCCACAGTATCCTGCCCCCTCTCCTCCTCCGGTCCTCAATCCTCTCTGTCCAACAAGCCCCGCACGACAGCCGTGGCCGATGCTGGCTCTGCCCATCACACTCTCTCCTTGGCACAATCACCCGGCTCTCCGGAGGTGACTGTCCCCTCCCTGGTGGTGCTGTCGCCACCTCAAAGCCCTCTGCCCAGTTTGGCCGCTTCACTGGGGGCTCTGAATCTGTGCCCAGCTGTTCTCCCCGCCTGGGTGGGAGCTCAGCTCCCAGTCTGACGCCGAGACGGGGGCTGGGCACCGGGCAGGTATCAGCACGGCTGGGACACAGAGCCGTGCGCTGGACTGTCACCTGCCTGCCCCGGCTGCGTGTGCCGCACCTGCGTGAGCCTGGCCTGAGCTGTCACACCGCGCTGGGACAGCGACCCGACGCTGGCGGCACAAGGGCGACGAGGGCGGTGTGAGGGCCCCCTGGCACCCCCAGCCCGCGGTTGGGGTGGGTAGAGCCGCTCTGCAGCTGCAGCAGCCCCGGGGCTGTCACGGCCACACACTGAGCAGTGCTCGCACACAGCGACTGCGGGATGCTGCCACCACCCACGGCCCTGAGCTCCCGCTGCCATCGCACCGCGGGGTGACAGCTGACACCTCCCCCGGCCCCTCGCACTTCTAAGTCCCATGGGAGTTACCCCTGGTGTCCTGCCTCGCGTTCCTGAGCCTTTCGTGCCTCCAAGCCTCTCATATTCCCTAGCTTCCATGCCCCCAAACCTCTCATGTCCCCAAACCTCTGGTGCCCCCAAGCCTCTCACCAGGACACCCCTCGCAGCCTCCCCGTGACAAGTGCTTGGTGCAGCAGCGCCGTTACCGACTGCCCCGTGTCACCAGCCTGGGTGACACCCCGTCCCACCCGGGCATGGCACAATCCACCTGTCGGTTTGGGGAGCAAAGAGCCCTCGGCGGAGGTGGCACCGGGGCCTGCCCACCGCCCTCGGGGAGCTAGGGCAAGGTGGGTGACTGTCCCTGCTCGGGGCTGGGCAGCCGGGGCAGGCGAGGGGTTGCCCGGAGGGTGGGGATGCCGCAGCCCCGGTGCCCGCGGAGGGTCCCCGCAGGAGCGGAGCGAAGCGCTGGCCGAGCTACGGAAGGAGCCTTCCGTTCCTTACCTCCTTGCTGAGTAGCCGGGAGGATGGAGAGGAGGAGGAGGACTCCGGGGAGGAGGGGTGCAGCTGCCTGCCTTGCCATCTCTTGAAGCAATGCCCCCGTGCTCCCGCGGGCTGTGTGTTTTATCCCAGAGCTGCTTAATTGTTGCTTCCAAGGATGCGAGGGGAAGGGGAGAGGACAGCATCCCAGTTTTTTTTTTTTTTTTTTTTAATTCCTAGCTGCTCTCTCCAAACCGGCGCGTTTCTGCCAAAAAAGCTGGAAGGGGGGGGCAGCTGCCAAGGCAGGCGGTGGGGGAGGACGGGGGGGCTGCGCCCACCAGCATGGAGACCACGGGGGTTTAGTGTCGCATCGCGACGGGCACCTGAGTGGTCTCGCATCCCGGTGACACCGGGGCGTCTCGCATCCCGGGTGGCATCGGCCCGAAGGGGGACTGGGGGGCAGGTGGGGCCCGGCGGGGTGAAGGGATGGGGGTGTCCGGGGGTGCAGGCGGGAATTCGGGGGATGCCGCTCCAGCTGCGGGGCACGAGGGATGGCATCGGCCCGATGCCCGGTGCCAGTGCCCCGTGCACGGAGTCCGGATCTCGGTGCCGGTGCCAGTACCGCTGCCCGGTCTCCAGATCCCGGTGTTAATGCCAGGTGCCCGGATCCCGGTGCCAGGTGCCGGTGCCCGGATCCTGGTACCAGTGCCCAGTGCCCGGGTCCTGATGCCAGTGTCCAGATCCCGGTACCGGTGCCCAACACCGGGGTCCCGCTGCCAGTGCCCCGACCCCAGCGCCGGATCCCGGTGCCGATCCCGGTTCCGATCCCGGTGCCGATCCCGGGGTCCGCCGGCGGTGGCCGTTAGGTGGCGGACGCGGGGTGTGCGGCCGCCGGCTAGATGGGAAAACCGGGCATTTTGCAGGAAAACGTGCAGCCGGGCACCGGGGGTCCCCTCCCGTCCGGGGTGCCCTGGGGACACGCAGAGCCCGGCTGGGCCGGGGCTGGGGATGCACACGCGGCCTCCGCGACCCCCAGAGCCGGGCACGAGGGGAGCCCGGCAGCTGAGCCGCTTACACCCCCAGCCCCTTCAGGGGCTCCGGGCTCCTCCAGCCCCGAGCCCAAGCCGGGCCCTGCGTGTCCCCCCTGAACTCCTCATCCCCCTTCTCGGGGGTGTCTCTGGAGAGGGCTTGAGGACCAGCTGGGGCAGCAGCGAGTTAAATGGTGGGATCAGTCACAGCATCATGGAATGGCTGGAGTTGGAAGGGACCTTCCTGTTCCATACCCCTGCCATGGCCAGGGTCACCTTCCACTATCCCAGAGTGCTCCAAGCCCCATCCAGCCTGGCCTTGGGCACTGCCAGGGATCCAGGGGCAGCCACAGCTGTCCCTGTGCCAGGGACTCAGCACTCTCACAGGGAAGAATTTCTTCCCAACATCTCATGTCTCATTCCCCTCTGTCAATATGATGGCATTTCCCTTATCCTGTCCCTCCATCCCTTGTCCTCAGCCCCTCTCCAGCTCTCCTGGAGCCCCTTTAGGCCCTGCAAGGGGCTCTGAGCTCTCCCTGGAGCCTTCTCCTCTCCAGGCGAGCACCCCCAGCTCTGCCAGCCTGGCTCCAGAGCAGAGGGGCTCCAGCCCTTGGAGGATCTCTGTGGGCTCCTCTGGACTTACTCCAGCAGCTCCACATCCTTCTTATGCTGGAGATCCCAGAGGTGGACAGAGCACTGCAGGTGGGCCAGAGTAGCAGGGAAGAATCTGTGTGGATGTGAATGAGAATCTGCTGTGTGGATGAAGCACAAGGAATGCAAAATCACCCTCTCCACTGCAGATCCAACACTGCCCCTTCCCCACGTGCCAAGGGTTTGAGATGCTGCTTATCCCAGTACCTGACTCCTCGTGACCCCAAAGTGCTGGGAGTGGGAGCACGTGCACGAAAATGCCCTGTCTGCACCCGCTTCCCGCAGGGCTCCCTGGCATCATTCCCCCCATTCCCCACACTCCTTCCACCGCTGCGGAAATTGGCAGCCGGTTATCAGCAATTCCACCCGGTTCCTCTCGGCCGCGCGAGGTGCGAAGGCCGGACCTGGCCGCCCACGGCAAGAAGTGTGAGCTCAATCCACGCTCGGGACCGGCCCTCCGGAGCCTGCCTGTCTGGCTTATCTCAGCTCCCACTTTATTTTAGGGAAAGTGCTGATGGCTACGGCCGCAGGAATTCCGGGAGGTGGAAATCACGGAGCGCTTTGCCCTCCACACCCGGCGCTGGGACACGCCGCGGAGGTGGGGAGGGGAGGGGAGGCTGTAGGAGCCCCTCGGTGGGATTTTGGGAGGCGGATTTTCTATTCAGCTGCACAGGGCAAAGGGTTGAGGGCTGGGGCACGGGACAGGGGACGAGCATCGGGCAGGGACAGCGCAGCCGGGCTGGCCCCGTCCGTCCGTCCGTCCGTCCGTCCGTCCGTCCCGCTGGCGTTGCCAGGTGATGTAATGCTTGAGCGAAAACACACGCGGTCGTTAAACACGAGCTCCCCGCTCCAGAGGAGCGACGCGGGAGCAGATGGATGCGGGGATCGGCAGCTTTGCAGCGGCTCCAGCAGCCTCGGGCCGTGATGTGGCCCTCGGGATGCAGCCCCCCGGGCGGGGCTGGCCGGCTGATGCATCCTCGATGCGAGCGTCTGCAAAACATGCAGAGAGCAGGGCTGGGAAAGCGGCCTCGCTGGGAATCAGAACTGGGGCAGTTGGCCGGCTCCGAGCAGCTCCCAGCCCTTGCCAGTGAAACGGCTGTGACTTTTGAATGCGTGTTTTGTACCTAGAAAGAATAGATGTGAGGCAAGATCTCCCGCCCCTGGCACTCGTGCCGGGGAACGGGATCCAAACCTTTGTGATTTGGCCGGAGCGCTCCGTGAGCCGCCCGCGGGGATGGGCTGGGAGCGTTCCCCGAGCTCGCAAAGTGTCAGGAGAAGCTGCCAGGGGGCACAGAGACGGGCATGGTGTGACGGGAAAGGGGCAAGGCAGAAAGCGCTGCCCACACAGCGGGGCCCGTGCGGAAAAGCGGCGGATTTGCCGCATGGTGCAATATCGGGAAGGGAAAACCCACGACGGAGGCTGCAGCAGAGCACCCGTGGCTACAGCCTGTACTGGCACGGGGGGCTCCCGGGAGCCGTGGCAGCTCGGGAAGGATGGATGCTTCCTGCAGCCGGCCGGCGGCAGGTGCGGGTCCACACAGCTCCCCCAAACGCTGACACAGCTGCTGGGGGAAATGCCAGAGAGCCTTACGCTGCTGTGACACTCGCGGGGAGCTCTCCCGGGGGTAACACCGACATGCAAAACACAGCATAAACACCCCTTTGCCATAGCTACGAGCAGCCCCACACCTGCCCGGCCCCGCGGACCCCAGCCCTGCTCCTGGCGCTGTTGACGGCGTTGTCCTTGGAAACGGCACTGCCGGGGTGTGCCGGGGCTCGGATGCGCTCAAAGGAAAGGTATGTGCGAGGGGCAGGTCACACGCATCCAGTGGTCTCGTCACCGTCCCAGGGAAGCTGAGGCTGGTACGTGGCTTTGGAACAGCCAAACTCACCGCGATCATGAGGGCCTGAAGTTTTCATTCCTCCTGTGTCTCTGGTGAGCAAATGCTCCGTGTTTGGGGTGTGTGCCAGAAAGGTGGTGAAGGGACAGAGGAACTGCCTCTTCCGATGCTGAGCATCCTTAGGTTTCCCTGCCTTGCTTCACCACTGTTAACAATTGACCAAAAGATCATCATCCCTGGATATGCTGTAGAAAGGAAGCTCCAGACTAGAGAGACAGTGTGAAAAGCACACCTCTGTCAGACATCCCAGACAAAATCCTCTCGGTACACAGGGCAGGAGGATTGTGAGGCATGGACAGGGCTCTGTGGTACCTGGAAGTCAGGACATCTGCTCAGGCTTATTTTCAGCAAGCAAAACCTTTTTGTTTTGCCAAGTCCCCCACTCAGAGGTGTTTTCACCAGCCCACTGTTGTCCCATGGCTCTCCCGATGTTAAATCACCGGGGATCTCTGGGTGCTCTGAGCGTGGGTCCCCATCTCTCCCCTGTGCATCCCACTGGAAGCACCAGCACCTTCCCTGGGGGAACATTCAACCCCGTGCACAGCCCATGCCACAGCCCCACAGGACACCCACATGGGGCAGCCAGGGAGCCATCCTGTCCTCAGTGTGAGACTGGAAGCCACCACGGACATATTCCAGTGTCATGGGCAAGCTCCTAGGATAGAAACACAGAAACATGGAATGGCCAGCATGGAGGGGACCTGAAACATCACCTGACTCCAATCCCCTTGGTCTCACTATCCCACGTTGCTCCAAGCTCTGTCCAGCCTGACCTTGGACACTGGCAGGATTTTCCCAGCTGTCCCTGTACACTTGGTGCTGAGGTGTTCGTCAAGGCACGAGGAGCATTTTCGGCTCTGCAGGGGCTGTTTGGGGACTGGGGGGCTCAGGCAGCCCCTCCCTGGCAGGTCTCATTTTCTGTTTGGTTTGAAGGCTTTTGTGATCCCATCCGTACCTCACCCATCCTTCACTTTCCATGAGCTCCTCTTTCCCTGGCAGTCCCTTCCCACAGTTGTCACGGGAAGAGGTTTTGCCAACACAAGGATGCTGCTTGGAGGGAGCAGGGCTGGAGCAGCAGCCCAGGGCCATGGGGAGATGCTGTTTCTTGACACGACCAACAGAAACAGCATCTCCCTTCCAGCACCAGAGAGATGCTTGAGATCTCTTAGGAATGTTTGTCCTTGGAGACTCCTCATGAGGAGAAGGGGAGACACCTTCCCCAGCCCCTGGCAGAGACCCCATCCCAGGCCTCTGTTTTCTGCTGGGCATGAGCAGCCAGGACCAGGTCCATATCTCTTTCTCAGTAACCCATCCTGCGCTTGTCCCCCCAAGATGCTCTCCTTTTCCATCTTTCTACCAGTTTTGGTGCCTGGTTCTGCGCCCCTTTGGCCCCCTCTCTCTCTGGTATCCATGACCACCTCACTGCAGGCCACACTTGGCTGCAAGCCATGTTCCAGCTCTCCTTGCCTTGGGCCCAGCAATGTTTGTGATGGTGCCTTCTCTGCAGGCTTTGCCTCTGCCCTTTCCTTGTGGATAACCAGCTCTCCACGTGCTGGGAAGAGCTGTGGATGTGGCCCATGAGGTTGGGATTGTGTTGGAAGTGGTGCAGC